TCATAATTTAAAAGACTCTCTCTCGATGTTGCATTCTAAGTAGGCATGGCAACGGGCGGAGCGGGGGCGGGTTTTGCCTCCCGACCCCCGCCCCGATATTTTTAATCGTCCCCGTCCCGCCCGATCCCGCCGGGTTAAAATTTAAGTCCCCATCCCCGTCCCGTTGGGTTTCGGGTTTCCCGCCCCGCCCGTCCCCGTTCTATGGTATTATTTTAAAAGTAATTATATATAAATTATAATAAAATAATTTAAAATTATTATTTTTTATATTTTATTTTTTATAACAAATAAATATAATATTACAATTTTTAGAATATTATTATTGATTGAGTGTATATTTTAATTTATTACGTTTATATTAAAATATTTATGCATAAAAAATATATTTGATCATTCTTTTTTTCTTCTTATTATAAGTTGTTAATCCTTTAAAATTATTAATCCTTGTAAACAATATATAATAAAAATAAGTTTCAACTAATGATCCTTTTAAAATAATTATGAAATACATCTAAAAATACTAATAAATAAGTAAACAAAGTTTCTCATGGAAAATAATATAAGAAAACTGCATAATAATGCATAACCGTGCATAACAATACATATAAGAAAAATAACAAATATTGGATAATTTAATGATCATCCTCCAAATGAGCAACAATGCCACTCGTCCATCAATTCACCTACATAATTTAAAATAAAATATAATTAGTTAATTAACATAAAAGATAAAAAAATATAATTAGTTAATTAACATAAGATATGATATATGATAAATAAGAATAGTAAACCCAGAAAACATGATATAACAAAAACCTAATAAAACCAAATTAGAAATAAAATGATACATTGATGTACATATTTAGAAAAAGATAAATAAACAAAAAATTACCTTATGCGCTCGATAAACTGGTTGATAATATTGGAGAAGTTGATCAGAGAACTCAAACTAGTTAAAGAGATAGGAGAAGCCAAATGTGAGTTGAACTAAGACTAGTTGTGAAGAGATTCAAAAAGGCAAAGAAATTCAGAATAAATGGAAGTAAAGTGAAGGAAAGGAACACACTACGTAATGAGAAGATAAAGGGTATTATAAGAAAACAAAAAGGGTAATGTGAAAAGACTAAGAGTAATAAATAATGTGAAAAGATTAAGGGTAATGTGAAAAGACTAAGGGTAATGTGAAAAGACAGAGAATTATATATCAGGATTTAAATTTAAATATAATTAACATTAAAAAAAGAAAAGAAGACAAACAGACAAATAATTAATATTTTAGAATTTAGGTTTAAATATAAAGTCGGGCAGGGACTGGGACGGGGCGGGGTGGGGATTGCATTACCCATCCCCGCCCCGAACCCGATTTCTTAAAGCGGGAAAACCCGAACCCGAACCCGAACCCGGTCAACTCGGTTTTTCCCGTCAACTTCGGGCTGGGACGGCTCGGTCACCACGGGACGGGTTTGATTGCCATCCCTAATTCTAAGCAGGAAGAAAAGCAGCACAAAATGCAAGCGAACGACGAATACGAAGAAAATGACGTGGTTTTACAAAATTTTGTTATTTCATTTCAAGGTACACTTCCATGGTAGATATTGTGTCTAGTGATTCTTAAGAGCATACACATTCCCTTAAATACTATTTTGAAAAATGAATAACTATATATCTCTCACTTCTATCTATAATTTTAAGAAAAAAAAATTATAAGAGAGAGCATCAATATTTTGAAAAATATTAAATCTTCTATTTCCATTCATAATTAATACTTTCTTCAAAAAAATATTAAATATTGTAGTTTATTACATCGAATAAGAGAGCATCAATGAAAATTTGGGCACACTATCATAGCTTTTGAGATAATGTCCATTTCATTAAATTTTGTATCAAATCCATTTAAAATTATTACCACGTGAATTTAATGAATTTCTTTTAAACTTTCTTTTTTCATTAATAATTATAGAAAATTATAAATATATTGATTATTATAAAAAGGGCATAAATATTATAAATATTTATTTATTACATTTCTCTTTTTTTAAGGAGATATTTTAGAAGCCTAGGACAACATTGTAATATTATATATTACCTATTTGTTTTAATGAATTACCACTAAAATTACTATTTAATCAGATTAAAAATTGATTCTTTAATTTTAAATAACTATATTTTAATTAAATTAAAAAAATAAAAAAATAAGAACAAATTCAATAAAATTCAATAAAAAATATAATATTTTTTATTTTATTTTAACAATTATTCATCTTTTAATTTTTAATATATTTTATATTTATAATTTTTATTATAATTTATGAATAATCTTTTATTATTATTATTATTATAAAAAATATTACTAATAAATTTATTATATTATAAAAATATTATTTTATTCAATATAGTGGTTAAACCGATTAAATCCGGTTAAATATTTAAAATTGAATCCATGTTTTTACTAATTTGGTGACGAGTTAAAAACATTGCTTGTAATTATTGAAATTATTATAACTTTTCTTTTACTATAAAGAACAAAAATATGAGAGAGAAAAATGGTAGATATAAAAAAATATTATATATTTATTAATTTTAATATATAGTAGGATAAAAGGATAACATGCTATTGTACAGCTACTTCGAAACTATCCTTTATAATTTAATCATTAAATATAATTACTTCAATATTTGATCTACATTTTCATAAATTTTTTAAGATAAAAATAAAAAACAAAATAAACTTATCCATTAACTAAAATTAACTTATATATAAGTTAAAAAAATTATTTAGAAATTTTTTAAGAAAATTTAATACATAAATTAATTTTAGTTTATAAAAAAAGTAAGTATTTATGAAGTTTTTATATTTATTTTAAAGTTTGTTATGTCATAGTTACATATTAATTGTTTTATATTGTAGCAAATAGGAAAATTTTGGGTCATAATAAATCACCATCAAATATAATAGCTTTCAGTTTGCTTAGATAAACTATTTCGTAACACTTTTAAAACAAAATAATAATAAAAAAATTATATATTAAAATTTAAAAGATATATTATTTGAACCAGTGTCTTAATGAGATTATGAAAATATAAAACAATAAAATTCGGAAGAAAAAAAATATAGAGTCGCCATTATTTTTTTTTATTAGAAAATATTGGAAATCATATAAAGATGAAAAAAAAAAGAATTCGAAAACCAAATTATATTAAGAAGTTGATTACGTGTAAAGGGGGATGTTATAAAAGGATTGCTTTTATTAACTAAGCAAATTATTCTTGTTTTCTAAATTATTTATCTTACTGAAAAACATAATTAAAATTAAAATTATCATTTAATTGATTATTTAAAATTAAAAAAAATGTGTATTTTATATTATGAAGAGATTTAATAAATATAATATCTTGATCTCCCGTATTTCTCCGTTAACAAAAATAAGTCTAAATATATGTTATATATTTTTGTTTATATTTTGTAATTATTGTGATATATGTCCTTAATTAAGGTTAATTTAGTTTAATTTATATGAAAAATTAATGTGTTTTGTATCTTAAGATTTTTAGAAGTAGATCTAAGAAATTTGTGTTGATATTCCTAAGAATCTATATGCAAAAGCGTAATTCTATATTTAAAGTTTGATACGTTTAAATACATCAAATGGTATAAGACGTACGCAAATAACTTATTAAATTTTAATTAGTTAAAACATAAACTCTTATATCATAAGAATTTATTGGGCAAATATTAATGTTATTTGTTCAAAATGGATCCTAAAATAAGTGTAATTTTAATACTTTTAATTGTGCATAAATAACATTTTTAATCATTTATTAATATTAAAGTTTATCAATAAGTACATATAGAAAAATATATAAGTTAAATTAAATTTTTATATTTTAATTTTATAAAATTTAATTAGAAAAATAAAAAATAATTGATCAATTTTAACTTTAAGAAATTTAAGTTAAATTTTTGCTTTATAAGTAAACCTTATAATTTTTTTTATACAAAGAAGAAGGACTGCACTGTCATTACTTGACTAAATAAAAAAAACATAGACATATACACACTAATTTTATTATAAAATCATTATTTTAATCAATAATATATATATACTCTTATATTAAAATTTTAATTATTCACAAAATATTACATTGCTAATATTATATCACTAATTTCTTAATTATTTAAAATTTTATTCTTTAGTTAATCTTCAGAATAATAAATAAAATAAAAATAACGTGTCGCTTATGCAAGAGAGATTACATACCCCAAATTAAAGTGATCCCTTTCTTTTGTTATTATATAAAGTCAATTATTTAATTAATTTAGTTTCATTTTTCACTAGACTTACGTTATTGAAAAAAATATAAAAAAATATAAATAAAATAATTAACACTAATAATGCATATTTATTATTATTATTATTATTATTAATTAAAATAATATTCTGTTTATTAATTTCTTAATGAATGTCATTATATTTTTCATTATTCAAAATTAAATAACATTTAATTTTTTTTAATATCAAATAACATTTAGACTTCCAATTTTTTAAAATATATATAATCAATGTGATTTATTATTTGTCATTCTTAGAATAAACAATAAATACAAAATATAAATGAGTCATATTATTACATAATTTAAGTTTTATTTATTTATATATTTATTTTCTTAATATTCCATAAACACCTCAATTATTTCACATGGGGAGAAACATTTATTTAACAAAAACTATAAAATGTTATGCCTAAAATTTAAATTTCAACTTTTATATTGTAATAAATTATCAAAGACAAATGTCAACCAAATACCGTTTGTACGCTTTAATTTTTTATTTTTTTAAAGCATGAAGAGTTTCATTGTAGAAAAAATGTTTCTCATATTAAATACACAAGAATTATTCAATTATATTTTTTCCAGTAATAAAATTTAATATAATATTTTATTTTTAATTTTTTTGAAGGTGTGTATGATCCTTTTGAATAGGAAGGGCTATTTATAAACTATGGGGTTAGTCTCCAGGCCCCTTTCTCTCGTGCTGGGTCGCCCTTTATCTCGTGGTGGGTCACGTGGGCCAAAGTGAGTGATCGCGAGACTTAATATTTTGAATTTCTCGTGTAACACAAGTCTGTCTTTTCGAGAATATAGGACCACGTAGAAGCGGTTACTCCCACTGTGGATCTATATTCCCATTTTGATGACATGGCAAATAAATCCTATATTTTGGATTCGTGATCAAGTTGGTATTTTTGGTAACTTTTATCGTATGTTCTAAAAAATGTCTATTATGTAATTGTTACACTCATCATCACTAACTATATAGTTTTATTCGTTTTTTTTTTCTTTAACTCTTACTTTTAAACAAAACTTACATGCAGTTTTGTTAGCATGGTTAATGTTATTATCTGATTAAAATTTAAGTTTCAATAATATATATGAATTTCTAGCTCTTCTTTCTTTTGTACAAAATCACCTTATTCTAATCTCTTGTCTCTTCCCCACGTATTTTTCGCGGAATTTTAAAACGAAAAATAATTAAATGGTAAGAAATAATAGTAATGGTTCAGTATACGGAGAAAACATTAATTAGTGTAATGGTTTTTAATGTAATTGTGAGAAATGGGAGTGGGTAGAAAAGACCTTTGAGTGTGTGAAGTGTAGTTTATATACGAGACACACGACGCAAGTTTTGCTAAGTCAACAAGACACGAGAGATTGGTAAAATTTGATGGAGAGGCTTCTTCGACCACTCCTTTTTCCTCTTGTATTGTTTTTTTTCTGTTCTTGTAGGGTTGGTGAAGGCATGGATATGGATATGGATTGCAAGGGGAACAAAATCGTAGATACCGTCGTAGTTGATCAGCAAGGGAAAGGAGATTTCAGAACAATTCAAGCTGCTCTCAATTCCATAAAGGAAAACAATGATGAATGGGTCAAAATTCACATAAATGCTGGGCAATACATGTAACGTTTTTTGTTTCTTTAATACTCACGTTGAAGTTAAAAATCCATAACTTAAAAAGTTTTAAATCAGTGTTTTGTAACTGTGCAGAGAGAAAGTGATAATAAGGAAAGATAAAGGATGCATATTTTTAGAAGGAGAAGGGAAAGATGTGACGATAATCACATCGAGTGGTTACCACCGTGCAAGCATAGCATCAAGCAACGATGATTTAAAAGTGAACGAGCATTTGGGTGCTACATTTGTTTCTCTTCCCCCTAACGTTATTGTTATCGGCATTACCTTCAAGGTAGGTTCTTCTATTCAAACAATTGTTTTATTTTTATTTAATATGATTTTAGTTTTTTTTTTTTTTATATATATATATATATATATATACAATGTATAAGTAACCACAATGTTGTAAGTGTAGAATTCGTATAATCTGGTGGGGACAGAACCCATTCAACCTGCACTAGCAGCGGCCATATACGGTGACAAATCGGTGTTCTTTAAGTGTGGTTTCGTAAGTTATCAAGATACTCTCTTCGACGCAATGGCTCGTCATTATTTTAAAGATTGTTACATTGAAGGTGAAGTTGACTTCATTTATGGGAGTGGTCAATCATACTTCGAGGTGAAATCGATAATTCCATTTTGTGTTAAGATACTAATTAATCCATTGATTATAATTGAAAATTTATTAAATGAAATGAATTAAATTTGGTTATTGAGTTGTAGGATTGTACCATCAATGCTACGCTTGGAAAATCTCCTCCAGGTTTTGTAACGGCGCAATCGCGAGAGGCAGAAAATGATAACAGTGGTTTTGTGTTTAGGGCAGGTTGTGTGATTGGAAACGGTGAAGTGAATCTAGGAAGAGCCTATGGACCGTACTCGACGGTTATATTTTACGAAACATATTTATCTTCTATCGTATCCCCTGAAGGATGGGATGCTTGGGGCTACGCTGGCCAAGAGTATGTATATGCTTAACTGAACCGCACATTTAATTTTTATAGGTTTAACAATGTTTGGTGGTGTAAAAAAAGTGATGTGGTGCAGGTCCAATTTTACTTATGCTGAGGTAAACTGTAGCGGACCAGGAGCAAATGCCACGGGACGCGTTAAGTGGGAGAAGAACCTCACCAGTTCACAATTAATGAAGTTTTCTTTGTCATCTTTTATCAACCAAGAAGGCTGGCTTTCTTACTTACCAATTAAGTTTTAGTGTTTTCTTTTCCCCAATTTTTGATAAACATATGTATTCAACAATATTTTATCTAGATTAGTATTACTTTGTTCCAAATACTTCTCTCTAACAACTTACCAAAGGAAAACAATATTCATACCTTAAGACATTCACATTCTTCCTTTTAAGACATTCAACTGGCTACTCTGTTAGTTACTCAGTCGGCCCAATAAAAAGCCCAACTAGCCTCACATGGCAGAAGTTGATATACCTTAATCCCATCAACAACTTTATTTCAAAACAGATTACAAGATGCATAATTTTTTAGGCAATTAATTAGGGAACTTGGAGCCTAAAATGTCTTCAGGATTCCCTGTGCAATCTCCATTTTTCGATATTACTCTGCAACTGAGATTAATTTAATTAAGATGTCTTCAGGATTCCCTATACGTAATCTTTAATTAATGGTCATTCATACAACACAACGTAAACTTACTACCAAAAATTCATTAGAAAAACTAAATTCAATTTACCAAATTACAACATTCATTTTTTTTTTTTAAGTTTACCTTTTATCTTTTTTATTAAAAATTTAGATTAATATAACACAACATAAATCTTCATATAATCGTATTGTTTTTATTTCACGTATTCGTTAATCATCCTCTTTTTCAACTAAAAAAAATTTTGCGATGATGTTTTAGTTTTAAAAACTTTATATACTTTTTAAGTGTTTCAGTGGATATCTTACATGGTTACAAATTATAAAGGATAGGATATAAGATAGTACGACAAATCATACAATCACGAAACCAAAATAGTAGTATAGATTACACGTTGATGATTATAAGTTTAAATTATTCAAAAAACTGTTATATAATAAAGTACGAGATACAAGAAGACAAGTGTGATCATAGTGGAAAATATTTTTATTTTATAATTTGAATTTTAAAATAAAAATATGATTCTTTGTTTTAAATCAGTTTTATTCTGTCTAATTATTAGGATAATATTAAATAGTTTTTTATGCACCTTCTAAGGTTACATTACAAGTTTCTATCAAACCAATTTTACAGTTATTATTCTTCATTTTCCACTGTTCCAACGTTGTGATGTGTTGGCTATTTTTTGTTCTTATAAATAGTTTATTGAAAGTGAAAAAAGATTAAAAAAAACAAATAAAAAAATACAATTTATCAATATTTAAAGTATTTGATGTTTATGATGTTAGTGAATAAAATTGTTATATGGTTAATTCTCTCTAGCAACTATGTCACTTTTATTATTTTATAATTATTTATTTAAAAAATAAATTAAAAATAATTATTTTATATTTATTTAAAAATAACTCTTTAAATTAAAAATATTATATTAAATTAAAAAAATAATTATAAATTAATTATTTATTATCATCATAATTTTAAATAAGTAAATTTTATTTATTTAATTTTAACATTGATTTAAAAAATATTTTTATTAAATTTTAATATAGTATTTTTAATTAGCAGAATAAATAAATAAAATAAATGAAGAAAAAAATTATAAAAAGAGAAAAAAATCATATAATCAATAAATAATTCTTGTTAATAAAGTAATAGATTTTTATTTTTATTTAAATAATTGTTTTAAATATATTATTTATAAGATTAATTTACATAATATCTATTTTTCTTATAAATATAAATATATTAACTTAAATTAAAATATAAAAAATTAACACTTTTGTTTATTTTAAAACAGTATCAACATGCACCTTACATATAATTTAGAAATAAAATATGTTACACTTAAATTGTTTTGCTAATTTTAAGAATTTCCTTTATTAATTTCAAATTTGGATTCACATGTTAGTTGAATTAAATAATTTCTAAATTTTAATATATAAATAAATTTTATTACAAATTTAAAAATTTTATCTTGTTAATTTCAATTTTCGATTCACATGTCAGTTGAACTAAATAAATTGTAAATTTTAATATATATAAATAAAATTATAGTATATAATTAAAGAGTATATTCCTATTTACAATATAATCTTTTAAGATTAAATTAGATTCATATATTTTGTTTCAAACTATGGCATCTACTACCTTTTAAATGAAACTGATCTTTATTATAATTTCAATTTAAAATAATGACTTATTTTAAAACGTAATATCAAGATTTAATAATACCGTCCCAATATTTATAAAATTTGTATAAATATTTATATTTCAAAATAAGCCTCACTCATTTAGTTTTAGTTATTTTATAGAATTTGTAAATAATTAGTTATTTCAAAATGAACAAATTTGTTCATTTTTTAAAATTTAAATTTTGAATTCTTTAGAATAAAATTTGTGAACATGAGTTAAAAATAAGAGTAATGTAATGATGAATAAAATTTAAAAATTTACTGATTAAATTAAAAAAAAATTACAAATATAAAATTTAATCATTTAAATTTATTCGTATAAAACTTTTGTTATTGCGTGCCTTAACTTTTTCATATACTCAATGAGAAGTGATAAAAATATTTAAAAGTAAAATTTATGAAATTCAAAATATATTAAATTTTACTAAATAAATTAATTTCATATATTTATTTTTTTGTTAATTTATATAATATATATTTTTTTACAATATATGTCATAGATGTTTTCTCTAAAAAAATGTTAAAATGTATATATATTTTAATTTAATTGATTTAAAATGAATACTGAATAATTTTTTTATCAATTTTCTATAAATGTTTGGAATTAAATAGTTAATTTTGAAATTTAAATATTATTATACATATTTTTTAAAAATGTTATAATTATTTTTTTTCAAAAACTTAAGCTTACTTGAATCTTAAACAAAATAAATTTAATTTGAATAGTTTTAAACATAAGATGGTATCAAAATACTTGTATTTATCCCCTATCAATCATAATCACGGTACAAAAACATGAACATGAACTTCCCATGCTATGAAGACACAAAATATCAAGTGTAGTGTAGAAACATATATAAATGGATAACTTGAAACACAAACATATTAAAGTTCAGGGTAAAGTTATATTATCATTATTAACATAAACAAATATGATATAAGATTTAGTATTTGACTATTTATCATTATTAACATCAAATTCGAATAGTGATTTACATACAATTAATTATTTTTTTTATATAAAAAATAGTTATCACACAATGCAGACATCTAACCTTAAATTAAAAAATAAAAGAAACTTAAAAAAAAAAAAAATCTTCTGAGTGTTTGTTTGTCTGATTGATGGTATATGTTTTAATGTAGTTTAATAAAAATGCAAGTTTCTTCTTTTTCTTTGTTTTGTTTATTATGCTTAAAAATCTTCCTTCATAATCCTCACTTACTAATGGTTTACTCTTAGATCTATATCCACAATTTTCATCATCTTTTCATTATTCTCATTTATATTTAGAAGACAATAGACATGATAATAATATGTAGATAATATAAATAAATAGGTCATATATATTAACTTTTATATATTAAAATAATCTTTTTAATTATAATAAATATCATTATAAAAAGCATTTATAAATAAATATATATATATATATATATATATATATATATATATATATATACGCAATTTAAAAAAAAACCATGATTATAAAGATATGAAAACAGAAGATATATAGAAGAAGAGATAACATGATTTTTGTGCATACATTAAAGCTACACAAAAATCTTAGCTGTCAATTTCCCTCAAATATTTCTTCCTCGAACCATTACCCTAACATCTTGCCTGTTACACAACCACATGCATTTAACTTCTTTTTTTATATCTCAAAACTCAAATTACCAATAACAGATTACCTATTTTCTATTTTGATTAATTAATTCATCTGCTATTACGATGATACACATCCTCCAATCTTTTTATATTCCAATGGTTGGATTTCCTCCTTTTTACCGTATAGCATGTTTTTGAAGTTAGACCAACGTAATCAAACAAAAATTAAATAAGAATTAATCTATAAATAATATATATTTTTTTAAAAATACTTCAATAAAATATATCTTATTAGTATTCATCTACAAAATTTAATAATAAAGAATAAAATTTTCTCATTTAATGCAGTAATTTATTTTTCTTTTATTACTTTTTTTCTCTTTCTTCTGTTATTCTCATCATTCATTATTTATTTTTTAAATTAAAAATATTATATTAACATTTGATTAAATAAAAATTTTATTATCTTAGAAAAATAAAAATATTTATTCATAAATACTATAATTTAATATATTATATTTAAAAAATAAAAGATATTACAAATATGATTTTTATGTTATAATTATTAATAAAAATGTATATTTATTTAAAATAAATTTGTAATAAATATTTTTAAATTACTTAATATGATTAATTATTAGATTATTAAATAGGAAGTTCAACTTATAAATATTTAATATTTTTTTAATTAGATGAGTAATTGATTTATTATAATAAAATAATTTTAAATTAATTATTTAGTATTATCATAATTTTAAATAAGTAAATAATATTTTTTAATTGTAATATTAATTTTAAAAATTAATATATTTTTATTAAATTTTAATATAATATTTTTAATTACCAGAGTAAATGAAAATAAAAATAAAATTAGATAAAAAATAAAAATAAAAAGTAAATAAATAGAAACTATTTTTTAAAACTTAGAAAAAAGAAAAAAAATCATATGATCAATAAATAGTTATTGATAAATAAATTAATAAAAAATCATTTATATAATTTTTTTAAGTAGTATCAATATGCACCTTACATATAATTTAGAAGTAAATATGTTACATTTAAATTCTTTTGCTAATTTCAAAAATTTTCCTTTATTAAATTTAAATTTTGATTCACATTTTAGTTGAACTATAATTTGTAAAATTTAATATATAAATAAAATTATAATGTATTATTAAAGAGTATATTCCTATTTACAATATATCTTTTTTAAGATTAAATTAGATTTAAATTTATTTTTTTAACTATGGTATCTACTACTTTTTAGATGAAACTGATCTTTATTATAATTTCAAT